TTTCCTTGTGAGACTATCTTTGTGAAAAACTAAATGCTGGACCAGAGCCCTTTGTTCTGGTCTAATACAGATATGTCCCTGTTCTTTTAACAGTTGCCATTTCTCCCTCCCTGATGTTGGCTTCCTGAAACCTTTTTTGTCCTCAAACGGTATTTTCCCAAACTACAAAGTTCTAGAGCCTTTATGAGCCTAAACCACAGACAAACTGATACAGTCTGGAGACCAGGGTTTTCTCTAAGCCATGAAAATATCAGCAAGTTTCTAAAGCAGCCTCACTTTGATGCATTTGAGATTACAAATCCCATAAATCCTACCCATAAGGTCTTTGGGAGGAACCATTTTGCAGAAAGTTATATTAACCAAGAACAACCAATTAGTTCAAAATACAAATAATACTTGAGTGTCAGGGCTGGGCTCCAGCTTATTCTGTGTTGATATTTATAACATTTCTATTTTTGCCACAGATTGAGCAAAAGTTTAACTCCATTTCCTATTTGCTCAGTTAATATGTATGTCCTTCCATGTTAGCGGCCATCTTAATCACAACAGCACAATGGCTGCTACATGTAGTAAGCTGATTGTTTAAAGTGGCTAGCTTTGTGATAGAGAAACCATTTCAACAAGCTCAATTTATTGAAAGTTTAATAGCATGAATTAAACTGAACGGCAGAACTGGAATTTTAAACATGACTTTCCAGGAGACACTGACTCAAAATGATCATATTGTCAATTGCCAAAAAATCATGAATGGCCTGAGTGCCACTATAAACCAGATGAATAAACCCCTTCATACTAGAGCTGAAAGCACAACTGAAATTAGTTATGAAATAGTAGACAATAATAGGAGTTAACGAAAATATTATATATACCTTTTTATTTTGGCATCTCTGATTTTTTTGCGATTGTAACCCCCAGAATAAATTTTGATATATTATTTTTAGATTTTGTCATGGAGCTCTGCTGTATCATTAGGCACCCATTATAATAGTAGAATAATTCTAATTACACTAGTAAACCAATCTATTACTACTATACATTCCATTATAATTATACATGGTTTTCACCAATTGCATAACTCAAATGCTTTTAGCGTGATACTATGTGCTTGTGATCTGGAGCTCACACTTTCAGCTTATTGCTCACTCCCAAGCAAATGCATAAGTGAAGACAGAATTCCCACTCACTTTCTGTTTCAAATTGCCCACCCACTCCAGGTCCTTCAGCTACCAATCTTCTATGAAGTACAGGGCTTACCTCTTTCTTCATGAAAAACGGGTAAGGTTTTAGGACTCCTCTCCCCAAGTCCATACATTTGTCCACATGGAACTGATTATATTTGTCTAGTAGCTTGCATAACATTCTTTACAGTGCTGTAGGCCACTATAGAATAGTTGAATGGGAAGACTGAATTTTGAAATTAGTAACAAATCCACGAAAAAGCCACAAATTCCTTCTGCTCACCATTGTGCGAGATCAGTTATTAGTGAATTAAAAATATGAAGGCAGAATTCTAGTGAGTCCTGTGAATTTTTCCAAGTGAGGCATGGAAACAAACACCATGAAGTTTGAATGTGAGATAAAATGCACTCTACAACTTTGCCTCAAATGCTAGCTACGGTTCATACATTTTTCCCTTTAGTATAGATTTTGTGTTATATATACGTATATATATAAAACATGAATGAATGAATGCATATCTGTGTTCTATTGGCAAGCATTCTTAGGAAGCAACTAGTAAGCAAAATTATGTATAGAGTTGTATACATGAAATATTCATGTAACAATACTTCAATATTAGACCAGCAACACTTTATTCATTCTGATATTACACGTATTTATAATGCATTTTACAAAAGCTACCATAATCCCATTGCAGGAAGGCGCTTCTTTGTTTACATTCTTGCTCTTTTGAATTGTAATCTGTTTTACAAATGGGAAACGCAACCTGCTTTGTTCATGGAAAAGGCCTGTAGGGGAGAAAGTATAGTCCTCACTTAACGACAATAATTGGGACCAGAATTTCCATTGCTAGGCGATGTGGTTATAAAGCAGACATCACATGACATTTCTTAGTGACAACAATCCCAGGAGTCCCTATTACAAAAATTGTAGATCACTAAGAGAGGACCTAACAGAGACATCATCCTGTCCCAGTTGCAATGTATGGCTGTGGAAGTTGGACCATGGGAAAGACTGAGCGACAAAGAATTGAGGCCTTTGAACTATGCAGCTGCAGAAGACTCCTGCAAGTCCCCTGGACTGCAAGGTGATCAAACCGATCAGTCCTAGAGGAGATCAACCCTGATTGCTCTTTAGAAGGCCAGATCCTGAAGTTGAAACTCAAATATTTTGGCCACCTAATGAGAAGGAAGGACTCACTGGAGAAGGGCCTAATGCTGGGAAAGATTGAGGGCAATAGAAGAAGGGGACGACAGAGAATGAGGTGGCTGGATGGAGTCACTGAAGCAGTAGGCATGAACTTAAATGGACTCCAGAAGATGGTTGAGGACAGGAAGGCCTGGAGGAACGTTGTCCATGGGGTCGTGACGGGTCGGACACGACTTCGCAACTAACAACAACAACAAAGAGAGGACCTCATGTGACTGTGACTTGCAACTTCCTACTGGCTTCTCACAAGCAAAGTTGATCAAGAAACTAGCTGGAAGTTTCAAGTCCAAGGTGGCTCAGAAGCAGCTGGGGCGGTGGGTGAGTTCTCTGGTCTAGAGCAAGGCGGGGGGGCTGCAATGGGTGTGTGCAGGTTGGGGAGCAGTTACTGTGGTACCATTCAAGACTGTGTGGGCTGGAAGGGCTCGGTGTGGTGCTGCCCAAGTGCCTGTGAGCTAGATGGATGCTGCGGCATGTGCGAGTGTGTGTACATGCTGGAGAGAGGGTGTTGAGGCAAAGCTCCTTGGGAGAAAAAGCAGAAAGAGTGACTTGCAATCTTCCCTGCTGGCTTCCTCATTAACTTTGCTTGGGGGAAACTGGCAGGGCTGTAATCATTTTGCCCAATAAAGTTGCCCAGACAGTCGTGACTAGATGAGGAAAGCAAAGAATATTGGCATTTCTCTGATTTTATTACTAGCCCTACTGAACTTTTCTATACATGATGGGGGACAAAATATGTGGCTTGGACATACGGAAACTTTTTTTCTGAAATATTTCCAACCCTGGGCCTGACCAAAAGTACAGCTTGCTTTCATTCTGTTCTTTCTTGAGAACATGAAAAGCAGATTTAATTGTAATTTTAGTAAATTCAGATTTTAGGAGGAGGAGGAGGCAGTAGTAGCAGATGTGTTCGCTGCTTTTGAGTTATTTATAAAAAAAAATAATAAAGGTGGAATATAAATAAATAAATAAAATCCTAGATGGCATGTGTGGACGCAAAAGGTGGAAAGAAAGTGTATTCATTGGGGGAAAATATTCCAATGCTCAGAAATGTTGCCAATCAGGGACAGGACTTAAAATTTTTCTCAACTACTACTTTGTTCTTTATAGAGAATTTTCTCCATACAGACTAACATCTAACCATCGAAGTTTCCCTTTGTGACCAGTTAATTATCAAAGTTTCCCTTTGTGGCCCAGTTGTATACTCCCAAAAGGACAGGCATCATCACTTATCAGCCATTTAAGACAGCTGATCCCAGTGACTGGCCTTGCGGCTGGATACAGTGCTACCTTACAGCTATGATAATAATTATGGAGATCTTCCTGGACAACGGAGTATCTTTTTACTCCTGCACACCACCACCTTTGGAATAAAAAAATGAGCTGTAGTGCTTTCATCTTGATTTGCTCGTCCATATGAGAACAACTCCACTCACTTAAAAGGAGCACTATGGGCTCTAGATCGGGGGTAGTCAACCTTGGCTCTTTTATGACTCGTGGACTTCAACTCCCAGAATTCCTGAGCCAGCTAAGCTGGCTCAGGAATTCTGGGAATTGAAGTCCACGAGTCATAAAAGAGCCAAGGTTGACTACCCCTGCTCTAGATGCTTGTCCAGTCTTGAAGCTAAATAAGCTGCTTTCTCCCGGACGCTGTTGGCCTTTCTTAACATGTTAGAAGGATCAAGTATCAGAATAAATACTTAGTTCTGATTTGTCAGATATTATCATCCCCATATTGTGCATGCTAAAAAAGGGAAAGCACACATTATTAGTGATCATCTGCTGTTGTGCCAGGCTAATTTTATTATGATCAACAATCCAGCCAAATATTTGCACAGAAGCCTATTTTCTTATGTTGACATTTTTTAAAACTGTGAAATAAAAAGAACTGCAAAATACAGAAAATATTTGCTTTTCACAAAAAGTTAGTCTTTCTGGTTCATGATATTGATTTTTTTTTTATACTCCAACTAAATTTCCGATCATTACTTTTGTAAATGGCTAACTGATATGTTCATGGTTCACATCCTCTTAATACAGTGCAAAGTCTTCCAGCAACACTTTCAAGTATATTTAACACTGTTTTACTAAAACGGAAATTAACATAGCTTTTCTATGGACAGTTTCACCAAAATAGTACAACTATACAAAAAAGATAAGCCTTTTTAAAAGTATGGCTAGTCCTGTGATGAAAATAAAATCTGAAAACAGATTTCCTTATTTTAAGATGATTGTATCTCTCTTCAGTAGCATCTCTTTGCAAATCAGCCTTCTCTTTAGAAAAAATACAGATTTTAAGTGATGTAATACTTAAGATACAGTAAAAATTGCTTTTTTTTCCTATGTTTCATTCTGTGTAACTTTGTGTTTTTATTCCAAGTTCTTTTTGCTACATTTCTTTTTTCTCCTGGATGTACCTAAGACAAATTTGTCTGAGAAATAGGGGGAAAAGGTACATTTTTTTAAAATTCCTCTCCATGAGGTGAATAACACTGGTGTCAGAAAAGCACAAATTAAGAATCATAGCTTCAGAAGTAAAAGTAGCATTCTAGCCAATTAATATTTCAACATTTAATCACGTTGTTAACCTGGAGTGTTCTTGTTTACATATATATATATATAGGTAATATAAGAATACAGCCAAACGCTACCTATGTGAGATTATGTAGGTTTTAAAAACCACTTTACATCACTTAACATACTTATCTTTTTGTCAACTGCATGAGCAAATGCCACGATAGTTGGGCTTTTGATTATCTTATTAGATACAATGACAAACTGTACAGAAAAAAAAGTGAATGTAAGTTTCGATGGAAGGGTTTCCAAAATCAGCACTAAATAATTTGAGGTTTTTAAAATGGCTCAGCACTGGCCATTTATAGGATCTGTGATACTGAATGAAATTTGTGTGGGGCTCATTTGTTGCAACTGAGGCATTCTTGCTTCCAGAGACTTTTCTGTGGGAGATCCCACTGACTGATTCCTTTTCCTCATCATCTGTCCAATGCCCATCATGGGGAATCGGCCTCTACTTTTCACACAATTAGGGCTCCCCAAAGGATTGGAGACATTCAGCTGCGTTGGAGAGACAGATTCCTCTTTGAAAGAGCTGCTTTTTTCATCATATGTAAATGAAAGTTGAGTGGGGTGCCCTGGGCTTTTAGTGGGACTGGGAGAAGTGCCCCCAGGCTGGAAGAGGGGAGACAGTGTTCTTTCACTGGAACTTCTTCGACCAAAATTTACTGGTGAGCTAAGCATTTGATACTGATGAGATGGAGAGACTTGGTCTATCTGATCCTCTCGATCACCAGTTTCAAAAGAATGTACAATGTTCAGAATCAAAGGAGAATCCAAATTCTGACTGCCAGGACTTGAGGGCTCTTGTTGAGGTGAATCTTGCCGTTTCCCAAGTCTTGGGGTTCTTGGAACTGGTTGCTGAATTTCAAGGTATTCCAGAGAGTAGGAGGTGACACAGCCCACCTTGCCCGTTGCTCCTTCATAGAAAGGATTCAAATTACTAGGAGAATCTATGATGTAATGCAGAAAGCGTCAAATGAAAAACCACTAGGGGAAATTAGTTTTTTTAACCCCCATCCCCTCACAGAATGCAAGCTTTAATTGAGAACTTGCTTAATAAGGGTGAGAAAAAAAGCTTTATGGAAGGACTTGGGGCTGGACAATATTAAAACCCAATTCCTGAATATGAAAATATAATACCATAACAAAAATTCAATTTACAATGTGCCACTTACTCCTTTGTGCATACTTCTGACTACCCAGTGACAAGGGTGTAACTATTTTGGGACTGAGGGCACACCTGAACTTTGAACAGAGTACAAATAGCTACCCTTCAAATAGTAAAAGCCCCATTAGTCTGGGAAATGCTACGCCCAACACATACCTCTTTCAGGCAATCCTCCATGACTTGCTCTTCGATCACTTAGCAGAGACTTTTTGTTTTGCATCTGCGTTGTAAGGCAGGAGGAAGGCTCTTTGTATGTTGGTAGACTTTTCTCAGATTTCTTCAGAAACGGATGAGTAAGGTCACCTTTTGCTTCTTGTTCCTTGGTTTTTTTGTCCTTCAGATTTAAAGCACACATAAAAATGGTTTGCCAGAGGCACTTCAGAAGGATTAAAAAGTTTTAAAAGCAACATCCAGAGTTCAAAAAGTTGCAGATCAATGGTGATAAATATATCATGTTTGTAGCTTTCTTGATCACATCAAAATGATTTCAGGAACCTTTCAAAGCCTCAATTAGAGAGAATATTTTTCATTTGCAGGAACTGACTATATTTATTTATTTTAAAACATGTTAAAAGTTATCTAAACATTTCTAAATAGCCCACAACAAATGAGAGTGGCAAAACTTACAAAAACAAAAATAAAACAGAGAAATTATAACTAATTAGAACAGCAAGTACAGTACTTATTGAAGATCCTCTTAAAATTGTCTTTTAGATATATTTTTCAAAAACTCACTTTTGTCCATTATTTTGATCATTTAACTTTTACTGTACTAATGGTACCATTTAATGCACAGTGTTTCGCATTCATATGAAAAATATAGAAATTGAATTGTTTTTTTAAAAATAAATATATATAGTGCTTGATTTTAGAAATTTTTATTTGAATATGCATTTTGGGAAAGCTTTTCTTGGTTTTGCTCATGAATTGTCCTTAGTAAAACAAAATTATAAACAAAAACAATTTTTATGAACCTCTTTCAGATTTTTCCCTTTTTCAAGTTTGCCAAGAAAATATGTTCGCCATATTTCTAAGTGATCTGGGCCAGTTTCCTGCTCATGCAGAAATCTACTAAACCAGCCTAGAGACATGGTTTTGCAACCTGTTGGCAAAACTCCAGCGGAGGAAGTCTACTCCAGATCTAAGTAGATTATTCTCCCACTTAATAGCTTTAATCATCAGGAAATTCTCCCTATATTTAAGCCTTTTCATATCAATAATTTGGTCCCTATCCTATCCTATCCTATCTTTTTTTTTTTTTTTTTTGCTTTTTGGTACTGTCTACTCTAATGGCAGAAAGTGAAGAGGAACTAAAGAGCCTCTTGATGCGGGTGACGAAGGAGAGTGCAAAAGTGGGCTTGAAACTCAACATTAAGAAAACCAAGATCATGGCATCCGGCCCTCTCAATTCCTGGCAAATAGATGGGGAAGAAATGGAGGTAGTGACAGATTTTATTTTCCTGGGTTCCAAGATCACCGCAGATGGGGACTGCAGCCAAGAAATTAAAAGACGCTTGCTCCTGGGGAGGAAAGCTATGGCAAATCTAGACAGCATACTAAAAAGCAGAGACATCACCCTGCCAACAAAAGTATGTATAGTCAAGGCCATGGTTTTCCCAGTTGCAATGTATGGCTGTGAAAGTTGGACCGTAAGAAAGGCTGAGCGCAAAAGAATTGAGGCCTTTGAATTATGGTGCTGGAGAAGACTCCTGCGAGTCCCCTGGACTGCAAGGCGATCAAACCGGTCAGTCCTAAAGAAGATCAACCCTGACTGCTCTTTAGAAGGCCAGATCCTGAAGTTGAAACTCAAGTACTTTGGCCACCTAATGAGAAGGAAGGACTCACTGGAGAAGAGCCTAATGCTGGGAAAGATTAAGGGCAATAGAAGAAGGGGATGACAGAGAATGAGGTGGCTGGATGGAGTCACTGAAGCAGTAGGCGTGAGTTTAAATGGACTCCAGAAGATGGTCAAGGACAGGAAGGCCTGGAGGAACGTTGTCCATGGGGTTGCGATGGGTCAGACACGACTTCGCAACTAACAACAACATCCTATCTTTAGTTTCAATACAGATTCATTACTTGGTGCATGTGATATACTCTTTTAAGTATTTGTAGACTGCTATTATGTCTTTCTTGGTGTTTTTTTTTAACAACCTGCACATGCACATATGAGAAGTATTTCTCAACAAGCAGAGTATTTTGAATGGGAAGTGGCTGTCCAAATAATTTGGTGCCAAACACAGACTGTTAAAAGCAGACAATACTGCTCTGAATTGGTTGAACCAGTGCAGCTGCCACTGCAATGGAGTCACATGATCCCATTATTAAGGAGTTGCTACTTTCTAGAAAAACGTATTTTCAAAAATTTTTGAAAAGCTGTCCTGCAGAGAACAAGTTTCAAAAATAATATTGAAAGTAGTAAACAGACCTTCGACAGTATTATTAACAGTATTTTACATTGCACCTTTCAATAGCATTGCTTAAGAGAGGGCTGTAAAGCACTATGAAGCAGTATATACTGTAAGTCTACTTGCTACTGCATACTTATAATCTTTATCTAATCCATCTTCATGATCAATTTGTGATATGAGTCGATTTCTTTCACATATGGAAAAGAAAGATAATGGCTCACCCAGGAAGTCCTTTAAGTTAATCCAGTGAGGACTACTGAAAAGGGTTTCCCTTTGCATTTTCTGCAGTTTTTGATTTTATGGCAAGGTACTGCAGAACTCTACATGATGTCTGCCTCCATCTCCATGGTAATACACAGATGCACTTTCAAGCATCTCTTATGTTCAGAATAGCTGTTCACAAATCACAACAGGGTGTCTATAAATGCAAGTTAAAAGGACATTTTGTGTGTAATGGTTGAAGAATACTTTTCAAAATAAATGGAAGAACCTTAGGACCCTAAAAGCCGCTAGTTAGTACGCACTAATAACAAAATTGGCACTGAAGCAGGATATGACATACAATGAAAACTTTTTTTCAAGAACAAGGGTTCAATCCTTTTATGAACAAAATACTTTTTTATTTTGTTATGTTGTTCTATTAATTGTAATTTTTTTCAATACCTAGGGGCTGTGCTGTTATTTTTTGTTTTGTTTTATGGCAAGGACAATTATGTGCAGAAAAAGGTAAAGCAACACTGTCTAATTGCCTGAGTATTTAAAACAATTTTGGCAACTTCGTAATATTATTAGTTCTATTGCAGCAATCTGAAATCTATTCTCTCTGCAAGTGCTGGGAGCTGCATTTTAATGGCAATAGCCAGATTAAGGTAGGAGAGAAAGCTAGGAAAAGAAGGGCAGATTCTACTAAATTCCTCTCAGGAAAAACGAAGCAGAAAGAGAAGTGCACTTCTGGACTGTTGCCAGAGAGAAACTATGTTCATTTCTAATCTATACAGAAGCTTAGACTAACTTTTAAGTGGCATATCATATTTTAAAAATATATTTTATCAATGAAGGGCTGCTTTTTATTTGTATCAATATAATTCAAAATTACACACAAATATTTAAAAAGCTGACTACTTACTCATTATTTCCCAATGTTTCTTTCATCAGTTGTCACTTTATTGCCCTCTATCATTGCGTGTCACTGAATTGTTATTGGACTATTTTGGAATAAATATCCTCCCTCCCATTAATTTTCCCCTTTAAAATTATTTTATGCCTTGTAAATCTTGATAATAACCACTATTCTGCATACAATGGAAGAACGAGTGGCTAAAGATATAGTTGATATAGATGATTGATATTACACGATATGACATTTTTTGGAGCAAAACATTTTATAAATCTCATTCATTCAACATTTATGGCTATCAATTAAAAACAACTTTTACAAAGTCACTAAACATCTGGGAATGGATTTAGTTTTGTTTTCTTTGTTAAATCAAAAGTCTATTGCTTTACAGTAATAACCAGTGGGAAGTCCAAATACTATCTGGCTCCAAATGACTAAAGTAAAAGATTTACCTCATAGGAATCCTTATTGGATTTGTATTTTTCTAACCGACAAAACTGATTAGTGCACATATTATCAGAAGCTTCAGTTTTCTAGAAAGATGAAAAAAGAAGACAAAGATGAACTGTAAATTAGGATATAACTTTAGGAAAGATATATTTACACATTTAATATGTATTACTTTCATTCTATGCATCACTTTGTTAAATTAGCTCAACAAATATTGGCTTTTTTTAAATTCAGAAATTGCTACAAATCAATAACTAAACATATTATATTACTAAATATATTACTAATTATTAATAGATAACTATATATTACTATAAATAACTATATTATTAAATATATTACTATATAACAGTGGTTCTCAACCTTTTTAATGCCGCGACCCCAACCGGTCATAAGTCGAGGACTAAACCGGTCGTAAGTCGAGGACTAAACCGGTCGTAAGTCGAGGACTACCCAACCGGTCGTAAGTCAAGGACTTTCCCTCCCCGGGAGCGCCGCGCATGCGTGGTTCTGCCCCCTGCGCCGGCCGAGGCGTAGCTGGCAAGCGGCAGAGACGGAGCAGGCCAACCACCAGCTGGCCCAGCCCAAGGGAGGTAAGGCACCCGCCGGAAAAGGAGGAAAAAATGGACAAAAAAAATGGCGGACAGCCTTGCTTGGCGACCCCCATGAAATGGTCGATCGACCCCAAATGGGGTCCCGACCCACAGGTTGAGAACCACTGCTATATAATAATATATATTACTATATATTATTAAATATATTACTATATGAGTTAACACATAACATTTATCATTTTCCCATTCATATAAACTAGGCAATGCAATTAAGCTGGAAAAGCAAGTACAGCATAGCATTTCAAAAACTGAGTTCGGACGATTCCTTTGATATTTAAATTAAAAAGCCTCAAAATCATCCCAATATGATTAACAGGAATTATTCCCAAGGGCAGAGAGGTTATAACAAATTTCCTTATTAATGGTCTCATATCTCATGTTTCACAAAAATAAATCTAATAAATCAAAAGCCAATTCAAAGGCCAAGAAGTTGGCAGTATTTCTCCAACTAATTGACTAGACCAAAGGTTCCCAACCTTTTGGGCACCAGGGACTGGTTACGTGGAGAGAGGTTTTTCCACAGACTGGAGGGGGCATGGTTTTGCGTGCTGCCTGCATCCTGTGGATGGGGCTTTCCTTGTTTGTGCAGACTGGTTGCTGGCATGCCACGATCCGGTACTGGTCCATGGACCGGGGATTGGGGACCCCTGGACTAGATGAGTCTTTTAGCCATTTTTGATAGACTAAAAAGATATGCTCCATTATTACAAAAAAAACCCTACAAAATCTGAATGACTTATATTTTGTTTTTTAAAAGTACTTGGTTCAGGTACTTAATATAATGTGATATACTGTATATTATTATATTAGAGAAAATCTTTGTGATTGCTAAGCAAAGACATCCACATAACAGCACATAATCAATCAATCATATACTAATAAGATATTCACTGTAACAGAGACATATCATTTTCTGTAACACAGAGACATATCATTTAAGAATCAAATATTGATTTATTGCAATGGAAATTTATTCAAATGTAAGATATACAGTACAGTGATTTTATTTTATAGGAAAATAGCCCTAAAAGGTAAGTACCATTCCTTCTAACACTGAAGTCAAATGATGACTTCTAACAGAAATAAAAGCAAATGATAGTAGGGACTGTACATGACAGGATTTATTTATCTACTTTCATCAATGATAATAGTAATAATAAACTCAGGATTAAAATGGCACATTGACTAGAGAAATAAACATGAAAAGAGAAGCAGAAAAGGGAGAAGAATTGGGCTGAAATATCCTGGAAGAGATCAAGTCAGAAAGCATTTGCGATAGATGTGATAGTGATATGCTGCAATATGCTGCAAGGAAAATTCCATCTACTGCACTTGAGTTTTTAACACAATAAATCAAGTATTTGTCACACTATGGAATTTCCCCAGTAATCATACAGAAAGGGAATGGAAAGAATGGAACAGACACTGTACCTGTATTGGAGGTACTGGAGGGCAAATGAAAAAAGATTTGTTGCATGAGGTCAGAGGTGAGAATTGTTTTGTTTAAACGGATTAGACTAAGGAAGCAAGGGCAAACATCAGCCATGAACTGCCCTATGTTTCTTATTTTTTTCTTTTTTTTTGTTTCTATTTTTATTTTATTAAAAAAGTTAATACAAAAAGCATGGCATACACAGAAAAAATATCTATGTTCCTCACAATCTAATAAGTTATTAATTGATTCATCGTGCTGCTCAAATCTATTTATTTCCTGACTGGATTAAATTGTTTGAAAATATACATGTGATAAGCAGGTAGAATCAAAGTAGCTCTATTTCAACTGAAGTCTACCAGTTTACCCCAATAGACTACAGCTTCACTGGATCCTGCTATAGCTTCACTGTTCCCTGTAACTTGAAAAAAGAAACTAGCCCTTTCTAAGGTAAATTTCTTTGTCATAATAAAGAACAAAGAAATGTTGGCATAGTGGAATAGACCCGTGGAAAAAGGCTTTTATGTACAGAGAAAGCTTTCATTAGAGGCTTCGAAACAAAAGTAGTTTTTGCCCAAGGATATTCTTAATTATTCAAATCAGCTATGTTTTTTCCTCCCAGATATTCCATTCCATTCCCTAATTTTCCTTACAAGAGATGCTCAGCAATCTATGATTAGTGAAAATGTCCAGTTTTAAACGCTGTTCCCTTAAAGTTCTTCATATTTTGAGGTGGTTCAGATTTTTTCCCCACAGTTGTAGCGTTTCCCATGCATATTGTGCTTATTTCTTAATATCTCCAATTTGGTTCCTGTCATTCTATTCAACTTTGTAGTGTTCAACAAATCGTCCAAAATTATACTTACTTTTGTGCCTGTTGTATAGCGCTCTAGCTTCTTATTAAGAAGGACGTAGATGGCAAGCATGTGGCAAGCTCTGTTTGAAAGAATAGTGTTGATCACATCACTATTCTTATAGCCAAGCTTTTCTGTCATGTACAGCAGCACGCTTTGGCTTATGTCTTCTAGATGAATTCTGCAAAAAAGATTAACAATAATATAGGTAGTCCTCAACTTACAATCGGTCACTTAACAACCATTTGAAGTTATGGCAGATACCCCAAAAGCTACTTATGACCTAGTCCTGAAGGTATGGCTGCTGCAGTCCCCATGTTCATTCATCCACAGGGACACTGCAGTGCCCCTGCTTATCTTCCTCTTTCCCCACTTGGTCCCTGCAAGCATTTTCCTCTCCCAATTACTTCCCACTGGCCTTATCCCTCTGCACATGGCCATAAGATAAAGCAATCCATTCCAGCACTCTGGAAAGCCTCAAAGCTTTTCAAAAGGTGAGGAGGAGTGTATTTGGCCTGTTGGGGTGGGAATCAGGCTTAAGCTTGGAGGAACCCATTGGCAGTGGGGAAAGGCCTGTGAGGATCCAAGGGGCAGGAAGCAGAAGAAACGCAGACCTGGGCCTGTTCTAGGACTCCACCCCTGAGGCACCCCATGCTCTGTTTAATAAACTGCACATTTCTTTAACAATTCACTGGGAAGAGCAGGGTAGTGGGATCGTTAAGTGAAATGCTTCACTTAACAGCCATTGTGAAATGCAACCATTGCGGTCCTATCTTGAGGACAAGCTGTAGGCTATCTTCAAGTTTCTCAGGAGAAAGATGGCAATCCTAAAGGCTACAGCATTCTTGAAAATCACCATGTTAATTAATACGATTAAAAGATCTAATCGAGCTGATAATTTTGTTCAGACTATGTTAAAAGAGAAATCTACAAATTGTTAATATGTTTTTAAAGAAGAAATTTGTAACTTAAAATGTGTCTATGTGGTAGATATGCACAACCCAGTTTATGGAGGTTTGTCCACATTTTAAAAGAATCATTTATTTAGTTACTTGGAAGGGAAAGGGACCATTAATTATGTACTTCTCTACATTTTCAAAAAAACATTGACTGATTGATTGATTGATTGACTGAAACACTGACTGACCATTAATCATGTATACAACTTCCATTTCTATTGTAGAATTTTGAGTTTACAGCTTTTCAGACTCCATGCATCATGGTCCATGGTCAGAATGTAGATGTATAAAAAAGGGTCTTCTCCACAAGTGTGCCTTCTATTAAAGGATGGTGAAATAAAAGTCAATGGGCACAGTCTTGCTCTCCACCCCAAGAAACTCTTTATTATTTAAGAACAGTAGTTAATTGTGTGACAGGGAATGGAACAATTGATTAAATGGCCTTCTAAAATTTGGTGTCTTCTAGATATGGAATGACATTCCCCTAAATTTCTTACCATCTGTCTAGGAATTCTAGAATTGCTAGTTCAGAGAGTACCCTTTGTGAAAGGCTAGAACAGAACTTTGGCTATAGGAATAGTTGCAAATGAATGCAATAAAACTTTTAAAACAAAGAGCCCTTCAAAATATCAACATTAACTGCATCCAGTTAAGAGGTTTTCAATTCACTGAGCATCACCATCCGGGCTCTTAAAACTGCTTATTTTCTGTTTCAGATTGTTTTGGCAAGATTATTCCCAATAGGTAGTAGACAAGTTGCATGTGACTTCTATATAAATATATTCAAAGCAACCCAATTAAGATGAATATTTTTTTCCAAGTTTTAAATCTGAGTGACAATTCAGTAGCAAGAAATTAAGAACTTTTTAAATTCTATTAAAATTAAGCAAATTAGAAGTGCTTGACTTTGGCTGAATCAAGGACTACATGTGTAAATTCTGATTACAAAAGATTTCTCATTCTTATTACTTCTGTTCCAAGTTATACAGATGTTGATGAAAAATGTCCATTGTCATTGCTACATGTCCGTATTTTATTGCCTTTAAAAAAAGGTTGTTTTTTGAAGCATACAACTAAAGATCAATAATTATTTATTTTCAGAAATGTACTTAGTAATAACAATTTATAAAAAAATTATGTGTAATTTATTCATAAAAATGCCATTATACTTTCTCTGTACTGATTTAAATTATTAGCAAAACTAGTAAAATTCCCCAAGCAGTAATTTACATTGTATTTATGCTTTGTTTTCTGCCAGAAATAATATCCAAGGTGACTATCAAAATAAAAGATAATTGAAAGCACAAGTAAAAATATAATTGAATATAATTTAAAACTGATAGCATCTACCTAGACTCAGGTGGAAAGGCTGCTTAATTAAGGGGGGGAAATCCAACATTTTCTCTATGGTAGGGATTTCCAAAGCCTGCAAACAACCACCATGAAGTTTTCCATAATCTCAATGAATCTGTTCCCAATGTTGGCCAAATTAAAAACAAGATGGCTGCTATAAGGGTCAATGTAATTGTCACGTAGCCTGATGCCAAGCTATATGTGGTTGATAGCATTTTAAATTGTATACAGAATCAAATTCATAGATATTAACAAGAGAGGTCACTTGCTCACTGTAACTAACCATTGTCAACATTCTGGCTGAGGCACCTGAATTAACAGAAACTCCAATCACTTTTCAAATCTTCACAAAGAGGAACGAACTAAAGTGTGGGTTCCAACCACCACATTTGCTTAATGACTGCTGCAAAACAATGTGGTAAAATCAGGCCAGTCATGTGATGACCTACTTAACAACTGGCACGACTTACAACCATAATTCCGAGCTCAATTACAATAATAAGTTGAGAACTACCTATACATATTACAGCACTTGCCCCCCCCTCTCAAAAAGAGTACTGAAAACTAATTGGAAATTATCCATTGTAGGATTCAAAGAACTTTTTTTTATTAAAGCAAGTTTCCATTATTGCTTCTTTTAGACATGAAGAATCAAACTTTATTAAAAGTGACAGGTTTCACAACTTCAACAATCTTCCCCATATCCTAAGGTTCTACAGTAGGGGTCTTCAAACTTGGCTCTTTTATGACTTGTGGACTTCAACTCCCAGAAATCCTCAGCCAGGCACGCTGGTTGAGGAATTCTGGGACTTGAAGTCCACAAGTCATAAAAACGCCAAGTTTGAAGACCCCTGTTCTACAGAATGAAAAACATCAGCAAAAGTAGCAC